GAGGTTGCAGGTTCAAACCCAGCCCCGGCCAAAAAAAGAAAAAAAAAACATATATATATATATATATATATGTTATCAGGCAATGGTATCGGATAGGAAAAACATACCAAAATGATAATACTGCATAACGTAATTTACTCACATCCCACAAAACTTAGTAGAGGTTGAGTATCCTTTATCCGAAATGTTTGCCACCAGAGTGTTTTGAATTCTTATTGGATTTTTGGAATATTTGCATTATATTTACCTGGGTGAACATTTCAAATCCAAAAATTTGAAATCCAAAATGCTCCAGTGACAGGCTGAGGTATGGTAGCTCACACCTGTAATCCTAGCACTCTGAATCGAGTAGATTGCTTGAGCTCAGGAGTTCAAGACCAGCCTGAGCCAGAGCGAGACCCCCGTCTCTAAAAAAAATAGCCAGGTGTTGTGGTGAGCACCTGCAGTCTCAGCTACTTAGGAGGCTGAGGCAAGAGGATCACTTGATCCCAAGAGTTTGAGGTTGCTGTGAGTTATGATGCCATGGGACTTCATCAAGGGTAACAAAGTGAGACTGTGTCTCAAAAAACAAACAAATGCTCTGATGAACATTTCCTCTGAGTGTCACGTTGGCACCCAAAAAGCTTCAGATTTTATGGCATTTTGGATTCTAGATTTGGGATGCTCAACCTCTAACACAGACCCCTAAGTGTCTGGTTCCCATGTGTAAATTAACCTCTAAATTAGAATATGTTGCATATCTGAGCACGCTGGAGGGGTGGTCCATGAGATTGCCCTCACTCTGACACCAACTGCAAGTTGGGGAGTACCCCAAAACACCTCCTCTGGAAAGCTCACAGAACTCACTGAAAGCTGCTATACTCACAGCCACCACTTATTACAGGGGAATGACACATGAAAATCAGAGAAAGAGATGCCCAGGGCAGAGTCCAGGAGGGTCCAGACACAGGTCTTCCCCATGTCTTCTTTCTGTGGAGTCTTGGACAGTGTTTACTCCTGGCAATGATGAGACAATACACATGGAGCACTGTATACCAGTGGAGCTTACCTGAGCCTCCGAGCCCAGGGTTTTCATTGGCAGCCTACTGTGTAGCATGGCTGACTTTCCAAGTGGCTGATCTACCCCTGCCCCCAACCCCACCCAGACTTGACCATATGACCCAAAGTCCCCACTCCATATCTCTCTACACGTACGGATCGAAGCTGTCATTGGAAATCACATGGTTACTAGCTGGTCAGCTGGAGGCACCCTGACAAACATGATTTTCCACGGGCTTAGAGACTGCCTCCTGGGGGGCACAGGCCAGACCCTTCTTGGGGCAAGGTGAAATTCCTTAGTACACACTCCCTCATTTTCTTCTTTTTGTCGGCCACTGCACTCAGGAGCCTGGCCTGACCTGGCTTGCCCTCAGATGCAGCAGCCCGTGGTGGCATTGTTCCTCAGGGCTGCCTGGGTGCTGCACCTGCCACCAAGAGTTTGCTCTTCCAGAAACTTTGTAAGAGTGATGACAGGTTGGTCACACTGTGTAAAAGTAAAGACAGATCACTATCTTAATGTTTGCACTTGACTTTCCTCTGCTTAAAACCCTGAGGCAGGTGGCACCCGTAGCTCCATGGGTAGGGTGCTGGCCACATACACTGAGGCTGGCAGGTTTGCACTCCGCCTGAGCCAGCTAAATAACAATGACAACTGCAACAACAACAAAATAGCCAGGCGCTGTGGTGGGTGCCTGTAGTCCCAGCTACTTGGGAGGCTGAAGCAAAAGAATCACTTAAGACCAAGAGTTTAAAGTTGCTGCGAGCTGTGACGCTATAGGACTCTACCCAGAGTGCCAGGTTGAGACTCTGACTCAAAAAACAAAACAAAACAAAGGTGGGCACCTGTTGTCCCAGCTACTCAGGAGGCTAAGGCAGGAGAATCCCCTAAGTCCAGGAGTTGGAGGTTGCTTTGAGCTGTGACAGAACTCTACTGAGGGCGATAACGTGATACTCTGTCTCTTTTTTTTTTTTAGAGACAGAGCCTCAAGCTATCACTCTGGGTAGAGTGCTGTGGCATCGCAGCTCACAGCAACCTCCAACTCCTGGGCTCCAGCGAGTCTCCTGCCTCAGCCTCCCAAGTAGCTGGGACCACAGGCGCCCGCCACAACGCCCGGCTATTTTTTGGTTGCAGCCGTCATTGTTGTTTGGCGGGCCCAGGCTGGATTCGAACCCGCCACCTTAGGTGTATGTGGCTGGCGCCTTAGCCGCTTGAGCCATAGGCGCCGAGCCAATACTCTGTCTCTTAAAAAAAAACAAACTCTGAGGCAACTGCCCTTCTTTATTTTCCTATCTCTAAGCAAAAGATTCCTCTAGTAACATGGGGAAACATGTGTCACATGTGTCCTCTGAGACCTCCATCAAAAACCTGCCTTTCCTGGTTTGGTGGCCATAGCTTAGTGAGTGGGGCACCGGCCACATACACCAAGGCTGGTAGGTTTGAGCCCAGCCCAGACCTGCCAAACAACAAGGACAACTACAACCTGGGTGGTGCCTGTGGCTCAGTGAGTAGGGGGCTGGCCCCATATACCGAGGGTGACGGGTTCAAACCCAGCCCCAGCCAAACTGTAACAAAAAATAGCCAGGTGTTGCAGTGGATGCCTGTAGTCCCAGCCCAGGAGTTGGAGGTTGCTGTGAGCTCTGATGCCACAGTCTTCTACCAAGGGCAATAAATTGAGAGTCTGTCTCTAAAAAACAAAAAACAAAGAAACAATGACAACTACAACCAAAAAAATAGCCGGGCGTTGTAGTAGGTGCCCATAGTCCCACCTACTTGGGAGGCTGAGGCAAGAGAATTGCTTAAGCCCAAGAGTCTGAGGTTGCTGTGAGCTATGAAGCCACAGCACTCTACCCAAGGCAATAGAAAAAGAAACAAAACCCTGAGGCAATTGTCCTTTCTTTTCCTATCTCTGAGCAAAAGATTCCTCTCATAGTGGGGGAAACATGTGTCCTCCGAGATCTCCATCAAAAACTTACCTTTCCTGGCTTGGTGCCTGTAGCTCAGTGAGTAGGGCTCTGGCTACATACACCAAAACTGGTGGATTCGGGCTTAGCCCAGGTCTTCCAAACATCAATGATAACCACAACAACAACAAAAAAATAGCCAGGCGTTGTGGCGGGTGCCTATAGTCCTAGCTACTTGGGAGGCTGAGGCAAGAGAATCACTTAAGCCCAAGAGTTTGAGGT